CTTTCCCTCAGTAAATTCTGCTCTTAACCTCTGGTGTTCCTAAAATTCATTCAATTTTAGAGAATATAAACTCATCCCAGATATTGTTCAGGTTGGGAATTTCTTTTTCTTTCCACTGTATCATTTGGAGATTCCCCACTGAGATTGTTGGATGGAGGTAAGAGTTTGCTTTTGTTTCATAGACTCTGGATTGGGACTCATTTAGGTAAATTTTTATACTTCAAATTTTGTTATGCTTTTGCCTGTTGCTTATAATTGCTTAGGACTCATTTAGGTAACAATTTTTTTTAGGTAACATTTAGGTAACAATTTTTTTTTTTTTTTTTTTTTTTTGTTTTTTTGAAGACAGGGTCTCACTATGCAGTTCAGGCTGGCCTTGAACTCACTTATGTGGCCTAGGCTGGCCTCAAACTCACAGCAATCCTCCTGCCTCAGCCTCCCGAGTGCTGGGATTACAGGCATGTGCCACCACACCCAGCCTTATAGTCTAATTCAATACATAGGTTCTATAGTTTTACTTTATGTAAGGAATTTTAGTATGTGAAATCTGTTTGGTTTCACTTCCTGGAGAAATTGGTACAATTAAATTTCTCAGCTATAATTTATACATCTTCAGCATCCACTCAATATTTAATCAAGTTTCAGCATTTTAATTCCTGGATCTTTCCCTAAGGGATACACAGAGGCTTGGGATTATCAGTATCATCCTTTTGAGATTTCCCATTATCTCTTTAGGGGTGGGCCATCCTCTCCTACCTACTATAACTAAAACTAGAACCACCAAGATTAAAGGACACTCCAGGGGAAGATCCTTTTTAGCATAAGAACATCTCTACCCTCTTAAGTTATCAGACAATCCCCTCCTCAATCAATAAATGCTGAGGTTCCTGCTGTCTCATGGCCTTTTGTTTCTCATGAACAACTGGTCGTCCCGGATCCCCACTATATGGCCATTTTGTCTCTTGTTCTTTCTTTCTTTCTCTCTCGCCGTGGGCTGTAACATCTTGCAGGACATTAAGGCTTACTGCAGGGGTCCCCGATATCTGACAGTGGGAGAAGTTGAGAGGCAGGAGCTAACAGGCAAATTTATAAAATAAGGTTCAGTTTTACTTATACATTCCCTAATCTGAAATATTCTCCCACAATTGCTATTTATGTCAGCGTTCTCCAGAAAAACAGAGCATATGTGACAGGTAGACAGACAAGAGGAGATTTATTAGAAGAACTGGTTCATGCAGTTGTACAGGTTAAGTCCTATGAGAGCCATCTGAAAGGCAGACAACCAGGGAAGCTGATGGTGTAACTCTCAGGCCAAGGTCTAAGGCCTCAGAAGTGGATGGGCCAATGGTATAAGTCCTGGAGTCCAAAGATCAGAGAACCTGAGGTTCTAATGTTAAGGCAAGATTAAAAGGGTATCCCAGCTCCAGAAGACCGGGAGACCTTATCTTTTCTCTGACTTTATTTATATCTAGACCTTCAGCCAATTGGATGGTATCTGCCCACACAGGATTGGGGAGAGTCTTCTTTGAACCTGTGTTCCTCTTGCCTCAGTCTCTCAGAGTACTGGGGTTACAGGCATGCACAATCACATCTGGCTAAATATACAGTTGATTTAAAAAATTGTTAACTACCTTCTGTGTGGAAAGAACTTCAGATTGCTTTTCTAGTATGAGGAAATATTTTTCTTCCTTCCAAGACATTCTTAGGTCTAGGAGTTAGTTGAATATTTTATTGGGTACCTACTATTCGTCATCATTAGACACTGTATAGGTGGAGGGAGAATTTGGAGGGGTGCAGACAAAAAAATGATAAGACCTGGTTCTTAGATACAAGTAGACTACAATTTAGTGGCAAAACAGTGGCGATTATATTAGGAATTTTTGATCTTGTGGAATTTCTGTTACTTGAAGCCAGTAGGGAGAATGGCTTGCTTAAGTTTCAAATGTTTGGACACTATTTTTAGTGTATTTAGAGGTTCAACAGTTCTCAAGGATTCAAAGTATTGTGTGACCCACTATTGTTTTTTTTTTTT